AAGTCAAAATACACGTGACAGCATCAATTATGTTTTGATTATGATTTTTACAGTTTTTCAGTAGATTCGTAATTCGTTGATGAGGATATCCGGAGTCTTAGTCTTTAGTGTATCCACATACCAAGTGTGTTCTTAATCTACAGTATTCAAATGATTATTTCAGATAAACCAATCAAAGATTAAACACTTTTAAGATAGAGATCTGATRTTTGWTTATACGATAGTTTAAATTAAAAAAATTACCATAGTTCATTTACTCAAACTTTTTAAAATGAACTTAARCAAATATAATAAAATAAATAGTARGGTATTATGTGAAATRGGGCCGCGATTGCCGCTTTTGTTGTAAACTATGTCCGGCAATTTCAGATAGTGAAACAAATCGATTATAAACTCGGCCTGATGATTTTCAATGAAAAAATATAATAAGCATGACGTAACTTAATCTAAAAATAATAAAGAACGTTATAACACTTATAACATGTAATACACACAAATGCGCAATATTATATGTATATTTTATACATAATTTATTCTGCTATAACGAACTTGCATATTTTTTAATAATTGTTATAAACATGAAAATAAAACGAAATAGTTTTTGGAGATAAATGAGAATCGCCTCCTTGTTGTGCTTTCTGGGTATATTGAATGGATTTCAAAAATATTATAAGATTAAATAGACATAAGCAGATCTTGGCATATTATTTTGATTCGGACCGAGTTTAATATAGATCTCTTAGCACAAGCTTTGTTTTTTAGGGGGACATCGTAATTTTTGATGTATCGTTATACTATTTTGTATAATATATACTTCTATATGACGTCTTTAATTATTACTTTATTTTATTTTATTTTCCTCGGGCTGAGTTTACAATCACCCAAATAATAATAACCAAATATTTTTAGGGTGTACCTAAGCCACTCCACCTCCTCATCGTGGTGCACTCTTGGTAACTTTAAATGAAGCGGGTTACACTTGGCTATGTCAAAAATATTAATTTTTTCTGGTACCATCACCGTTGGAAGTTTTAGGACATATAATAATAGTCATTTCGTGATKTAATTTGAAAATGTCTTCGTCGACACTTCATAAGAAGTTGATAAGTGATTAGAAAAATTTAAGTTATATTTTTCCATGTGTATCATTCTTCAAAAATTAAATGGTTTGCGATCTAAAAAACAACGAATCTTTGAAAAAGTTTAATACTATTTGTAATCATGTAGCTTCTACTCGGTAATAGAAAATAATTATTTATTATTGCTGAGCGTAATATTATTATAAAATTGTGACGATGACGGAACCGGAGATAAGTATTTGAGTGTTTTACAGTAACTGACAACTGTAGACTGTAGTGTTGAAATAATATGCTAATGCGTTTTATTTCTATGCAGAAACGTTAATATGAGTACCAAAATGACAATATATACAAACAATTTTGAAGTTATCATTATATATATACCTATTATATAGGTATGTATAATGTTTGAACTAGGCGTAGGAGCAAATTATC